TAACCCCTGCACCACCAGAGCTCCTTGAAATGCCTCCAGGCGTTGCTAACGTCGCCTAGGGGCAGAATCACCACTCTCCCACTTGCAAACCTCAGCTCTTGAGTGTAGCTCTCGTCTGTCCCCCTCATGTCCTTGTCTGCAGCCCACTCTCATCAGCATCTGCATCTAAGACATGAGACCGCTGAGGCCCAAGGAGCTATTTTCCAGGTTTCACAGCTGGTAGGAGGCAGAGCTGTCAATCAAACCCTCCATTTCGACCAGGTTCCTTTTTGGCCCAGAAGGGATGCTTCCCAGGAGACCTCCCCCGCCCTTCCCCCCTCTCAATATCCAGCTTACACCCCACTCTGCGTCCCACAGCGACACTGCTGCTGCCTCCCCAAAATCCTAGGCTGTGTTTTGCTGCTGAAGGCTTTGTCCCACATGATGGCTTCGCCTGTTCAGTTTCTCCCCCAGCTCCCAGACAGTAGCCCCAGTATGAACTTCTATCCTTATTAAAAATTCCCCTTGACCTTCCGTCCCTTTTCCATGGCTTCTGCCTCTACTAGCTGTGACTCACACCATGGTCTCCAATGACTCTGGGAGGTCGTGTGGGCCTGAGCCAGTTCCAGCTTTGGTGGAAATCCAGCCACCACCACAGGCCGCTGTGTGTCCCTGGCTTGGTACTTGCCCTCTCTGTGCTCCAGTTTTTTTTTTTCCCCTGGAATGAGGTGGGGGAGGTGCTGAGTTTCTAGGTCATAGTCAGCTTCTGCTCATATTTACTGCACATCCAGCGTGTGCCAGGCCTGGGCAGGTCATGGCAGGAATCAGGTAGACAGTATAGGCTTTGTTTTAGGGGCTCATCCAGTCTAGTGAGGGAGGGGGCAGGAATCAGTTGCACACTGAAACATAACATCACAGAGAGCTGTCAAAAGGGACATGAGCACAATGGAACATACAGTACTCACCCACAAAGAGAAATGAAGTCCTGACACGCTACGACACAGATGAACCATGAAACATTATGCTGAGTGAAATCAGTCAGTCGCAAAAGTACAAGTCCTGCATGAGCTCAGGGATTGAAATAAGCAAATATGTAGAAACTGTGGTGCAGTGAGTTACTTGGTAGGGCTTTTCTAGCCCTAGTTTGTAACTCCCACCAGATTACCGGGTGGGACCATGTG